CGCAGCCGCCACCGCGTTTGCACAGCCCTCAAAAATACAGAGGAGGGAGGCGGAGCGAAGGAGCTGTAGGCAGATTTTCTTTCTCTCCCCGGAGCTGGGAAAAGGGCCAGCCCCGTGCCCTGCACGCCTGGCTGTGCTCCACAGCTTGCCGGTGAGCCGAGAGCCGGCGGAGCCGAGGCAGCGCACGGTTCAGGCTGTGTCTCCATTTCGTGGCTTGCTGACCTGGCCAGGCGCAGCGGACGGCTGCGGCACGGCGGAGGTACGCTTGGAGCCACCTCCACCCACCTTGTGAAAGCAATGCCCCCCAGGTGGAAAGTTCACAAAGCAATTTGTCTCGCCGGCAAAGTTCTGGGATGTCGGGCATCTTCTGAGGTGGGGGAGAAGCGGTCCTGCCGATGCCGCTGGTTGTAAGAGAAGTTCCCTGGGGCAGGGTGCAGCCCAGCTTTGGGGACCCTCCGTGCCTTCCGCGGACCGGCAAGGATGGAGAAGTGCGCTTTGCATCGGACCCGGGTCTCGGGGCTGGCGATGACCGCCTTAACCTCCCCTGGACCCTGGAAAGGACAGCAACAAGTCCTGCCTAGCTATTTCATCACCCGCCTAGCACGTGCGGATTCCAGGCGCTCAGAGCCGGGCGCGGACCTCGCCTCGCGCTTCCCTTTGCACGTTCCGCGCCGCCCCAAGAGTTTGCGCTGCGTGGGGTTCGCCCGATGCCGGGCAAAACGCCCGAGGCGCACTGCATGGGTGTGCGGTGTCCTCCCCAAGCAGCTCCAGGCTGCCGGGCGCACGCACTTACCTGTGTTCTGCAGGGACAGACGGCCTTTCTGCTGGGAACCTCTGTCTTGGGGACCCTCGGGAGGATTGGTGGCGTCAGTCCCCTGTGCCCGGTCGAAGGTAGCCAACACCAAAGCCAGGGTCACAAACTGGCCCAGCCGCTCGGCACACATGGTTCTCGGTGTAAACCTCCCGCCGGGAGACCTGGATTCTTTGTCTCCCCTCCTCCTCCTTCTCCTCCTCTTCCTCCTCCGCTGCTTCCCCTCCTCCTCCCACTCTTCTTCCTTGCTCGCCTTTTCCCTCCTCCTCGCGGCCGCGGCTCGGATAGAGGTTACCCAGCGCCCTCCCGTAGCTCTCTGGAGAGCATGTGACCAGGCCGTTAGCAGCGCCGCGAGTGCCCGGCAATGGCAGGGACGGTGCCTCAAATATCCCTGGAAGCTCTGGTGTCACTTGAATGAAGGAGTCGAGCAGGTGTTGTCCCGGCGGCTGGACCAATCCGAGACCCCGGCCGGTTTGACACCACGGCGGGGAGTCGGGGCCTGCGCCCAACTACTACAGGAGGAAGCCGGGCGCCGCTGGGAGCGCCCGACAAAGTTGCCGACCTGGCGGCGGCGTGCGTGTGTGACTGTGAGCGCGGCTGGATGCGTGCGCGTGTGCGGGTGATCCGGGGCAATGGCCGAACGGAATTCAAACACTAAAAGCGACTCTCAGCTCCGGTTGCGCCAAAGCTGGCGAAGGGGGACGGACTCCTCTAGGGCAGTGTCCCTGGGGCCCCAGGCTCTCGCATCGCACCAGCGTCTGGCTGGGAAAGTTTCCTCTCCACCGTTTGGAATTCGGCGAGATTCGCAGCCCCCAGGCCTCGATGGCTTGGAGCAGTTTCCTGGGCACAGTGATGCTGGGAGCAAACTGAGCTCACGGAATCCCTAGCGTTGTGACGCTCGCATTAAAACCCCACACTCACTGTGGGCAGGGACTACACTACATGTACCATTTGGCCTTAGCGACCGCTTCACCTTCGCTCTTTCCTTCCTTTTTGCCCCGCTTCGGTGAATCGTGCGGCACCTGGGGTGCCGCTTGTCGCCCCTCCCCCAATTCGGACGGCTTCCAGACTGGGCTGCAGGGACCCAGGTGACAGTCTGGACTTGCATCATTTCCAGGCGGGTGGCGGGGAGGCCCAGACAACCCTGAGTCAGCCCGCCGCGAAGCATCGCGTGGCCCGGAGGCCGGAGCTTGAAAGGCAACTTTACGCGTCTCCAAACACACTCTTCCATTTTCCCGAAGCGCTACTTGTCGCCTGGCTCCGGGTTCCCTTACTCTCCACTCACTGAAATGAAGTGAACATAAAAACAAAACAGCAGAATCAGGGGGAACTCCATTTTGTCCTCCTTTTTCGAACCCCTTCCCAAGCGCAGCCGGGTGGGCTTGCCCGCAGCTGCTTTCTGCCCCAGCCGGCGGACGCCAGGAGAAAGTTGGGCGCCGCTCGGAGCGCCTCTTCCCCGCTGTGTGCGTACGTGTGCACGCTCACGTCTCCCCGCGCCGGGCCGGACAGGAACTGCTCCCTCCCTCGCCAGCCCGACGGTGCAGCTCTGGGGGCTCGCGGGGCTGGGGGAGGGCGGGGACGCAGCCCGGCTCCCGAGCGCCCCGGGGCGCGCACCGCGTGCTGGCGCGCCCTCGCCCCTCCCCCGCAGTCCCCACCCTCCTCCCGGAGAACAGGTGAGCCGGGTACCGGCTCTCAACCCGACCCCGCCCGGCTCCCGCCCGCGCCCTCTGCGGTAATGCTCCCTGGAGGTTTCATCACCCACTGCCCGCGGCGCCGCAGCCCGGGGTCTCCGCGGCGGGGCGCACTGTACGCCTCGCTGGGGCCTCCCTGTGACACGGAGTTGGGGGGGCACGGACTCGCGGCAGATCATCCTTAGGCCGCTGCTGGGCTTCAGAAGCTTCCCTTCTGCGGTCCAAGTTGCACCTGGGGCAAGGGGAAGGCCGAGGGGGTGGCAGGGTGACCGAAGCCGGCCATAGCTGGGTGGTACGTGGAGGAGTCTAGAGTCTAGAGGAAAGAGAAGGGGATGTGGAGGGCCTCTTCAAGTGGGCTTTCGGGGAGCTGTGGCGGCGGGGAGCCGCTGTCCACCGACCTTTAGGACCACAGCTAATGATCACTTTGAAGGGCCGAGGCTGCTCTGCGGAAGAACTGACCACCAGCGCCCTCGTTCCAATACCAGCTCTCCCTGCAGCCCCCGCCTCTGTGGAAGGAGGCTGGCTGAGTAGGTTAGGAGCGGCTTGCACTGGCCGCCCTGCCCTTTGTCCTCCCTTATGAAGACCCTGCTCCCCTGGAGCGCGGGAAACACAGCAGGGTCGGCCTTTCCTGGCCCGTGTCTCGGTTCTGCTTATAGGTATGTGGGAGACCCTTCCATGTGGCCTCTTTGCTAGGTGAGAAGAGAGCAGTGTTGACATGAAGAAGGCATCTGGTCCCTGGGTTTTTAAAGCAACAGGAAGGGACCAGCAGTTGGCGTAATGGCTATGTTGCTGGACTCCCCTGTAGTTAGTTGACCATGGTTTGAGTCCCGGACCCAGTGGCTTAAACTCACGTGGGGTGCGTGCGAGTGTGTGCCCAAGATCCCAAGAGAAGAATGGAGGAGAAGGGATTGCAGCGTGGCTACCCCCCCCCCCAGGGGGTTGATTTCTCACTTTCTGTCTCTCTGTCTCTCTCTGTCTTTCTGGTGAGTGCATGTGCCCTATAGCAAAAACCTCTCAAAAAAATCTTAAAAACAAAACAACCCAGGAAGACAGGGAAACCTGGGGCTGGACAAGCCTACTTGTACCAGGTGCGGACGCAGAGTCTCCTGGGGGGAGCCTCCAAAGGCAGTGGGAGCAGCAGCTGGGCAGGAAGTGGACTGTGGCTCCTGCTCTCCCCTGTCTTGGTGAGGCCCTGGACTGCCCTTGGAGGGCCTGGGTGAATTAAAACCCAGAGCCTGCTCGCCTCAGCCCTGCAGTGGACAGCTGAGTGGACTGCCCAGAGTTGCTGGAACTCGACGGTTGTGAGCACAGGCCCAGGTTCCTACGGGCTTATCTCCCAGCCACTCACCAAGGCCACCGCATCTGAACGAGAATGTCCATCCCAGTCTGACCCTCAGGGCTGTGAAGACGCCCTGCAGAAGCACCAGCAGCTTGCTGGGATACCAGATGGGCTGCAGGTCTGGGCTAGACATGAGGATGGGGCGCTCAGCCTATGACTTGGTTGCGACCTCTGTCTCTGCTGGTTCCTACAGCCCTGTGACTCAGACCTGGTTTGGCAGTCGGGGCTGATCAGATGGGGAGTAGGGAGGAATAAGAAGCGTTACTATTAGAAAGCTCACACGAACCAAGAACCAACGGTGTGTCACACCCCGATCTCATGGCTTCGGTGTCCTCAAACCCAGAGCCTGCGCTACTGGGAACTGAGACTCAGAAAAAGTGAGGACAGAGCTGCTGGTGCTGCCTGGTGGTCAGGAGAGAGTCTGGGGTAGGAAGAGGAGGAGGTCCCTGCATCTCAGTTAAGACCCATGTGGCTGGAGAGGACCTGCTGTGACCCCCAGGGACTTCTGTGGCTGGCGCTGGGGCCCGTGTGCTCCTCTCTAAACCTATTCTGCTAGTTCCAGTCAGTCAGCATCCAGGCAAGGTCGGCTGGGCTGGTTGTCAAGGCTGGGAACATTCCGGCGAATCTGCTCATCTGGGAAGATCTGGTTCTCTCATCCTGACGGTCCGTAAGGACGAGGCTGTGGGATGCCCTTAGACTTCATTCTCTTTAGGAATTAGGAAAAGCCCAGGGGCCCAGTTCCCGCACTGTTGCACAAGACCAGAGGAACGGGGAGGAACCAGTTGGAGTCCCACTGTGGCCGCCATGCCCAGCGGGTCAGAGGTGCTCTTGTGTGGGTGTGAGTAGGCTGGGACTTGGACGTGGCTCAGGTCCGGCGTGCTGAGGCAGTGACATGGAGAATGACACGAGCTGTCTAGGCCAGGCTTTTTGTGAGTTCCAGGGCCTGAGTGGAGACCATGGCCTGCAGTGGCAGCCCTGCCACCATGCCCCGCCCCCTTGGGCAGACGGTCCGGGCTCATGGCGCCACCTTATGGTCAGAGGGGAAACTGTCTGGCCAACTAGTCTGGCCTGTCTTCATCTCTACCCGACTCCAGGGCTGGGGCTCCAGTGTGGAGCCTCCTGTTCTCCCCCCAGTTTCTTTGCCTTTCCTTAGCCCATCAGTTAATGCCGATTTAGACAACCTCCTCCTCCCAACGAAATGCCTTCAGCCACCCACCGAGGAGCTCTCTTTCAAACTTTTTATTTTCCTACTTCTCCCCCCAGCGTTCGCTGTCGTCCTTGTGATCCCCAAATCTCCCCCAACTGTGGCTCCCGCACGTCATGCCTACATGAGAGAAAATGAGCAAGAGATACCAAAGCGAGATGGGGCAAAGTAATAACCGCCAGCGTCAGGCCTCCAGGCCTGCGGGAAGTGGGTTCACCCGGGACATCCCCATCTTCCCTGTCACGTTCTCCGATTAAATCGGCCGTTTCCTGAAGTGGAAGTCCCTATTTGGGTTGGCTAGTACTTCCTCAAAGTTGTTTCCTCCTCACTTTCACGTGGAAGTACAGTGCTTCCAGCACCATTGTGAAGTCAGAGGGCGGGTGAAGGGCTGGCCTGGAAACTGCGTCAGCATATATACTCGTGTTTACCGGAGGAAGGCGCATTCTGAGTTCCCAACCACCCGCTTTCAGTGCCGGAACAACCCTTCTGTGAACTGGGCATTTCCTCTGTGCCATAGATCAATAGTCAAACTGTTCATGGATTGACTGGAAATACAAAAGATAAAAAAGCATTTTTAAAAAGCCCAAGAGAATAGGAGCACTGTGTCCCTCACAATAAATCCATTTACGGGGCAGAATATAGAGCAGTGAGCATCGGGTGCCTGACTGTGGTCTGAGTTTTGTTAGTGCCTTGCTCTGAAACCTGAATAGTATCCCAGAGGCCCTCTCTGTTTTCTTTGGGTCATAATTTTTGCTTCCTCATTGTATGCTGAGATGTGCTCCAGGAAAAACTAGCCCAGGCCAAGGGCTGCCTGGTTTCCATGACGGTGCTAGTGGGGCCCGGCGGTGAGCACCGTGATGTTGGGGTGCCATGGAGCTCTCCCTGGCTAGGTTGCAACTTTGATCTCAGAACTGTTGGATTTCTTTCTTTCCTTTTTAAATAATTATTTTATTGAACTTTATTCTTTTTTATTTATTTATTTTAAATTGACCAGAGAGGGACAGAGAAAGAGAGAGAGAGAGAGAAAGTGAGAAAGCAAGCCGCCAGGTCCGGGACTCGAACCGTGGTCAGCCATGCGGGAGTCCAGTGCTCTTATCACCACGCCACCTGCTGGCCCCAAGAACTGTTGGATTTCAAGAGGGCAAAAGAAGAGTTTTTTTGTGGAGTAATTTTCCAGTCAATTAGTCTTTGTAAGTCTTTGGGAAATGACCAAATCTAATTTTTTAGAATTAGTTATTTGTTATTATTATTATTTAATTTGCTATAAAGCACATGCACTCACCAGAGAGAGAGGGAAAGTGAGATAGCAAGCCATTGGGTCCAGGGCTTGAACTGTGGCTGACCATGTGGGAGTTTACACCTCAACCACCATGCCACCTGCTGGCCCCAAAATGACTAGATCTATTAAATGTAATGTCATTCTCAGGGTGCCACCAGAGTCCATTGAACCCAATTTTAGATGTTCTAGAATGTTTTTTTTCTTTCTGAGCAGTGCTAAGGATCG